AGGGGGGGCTCCCCGCCGCCCACACTCTCCCTCCCGCTCCGGCGCGGGAGGGAGAGCTGCGGACAGAGAAAGCCCGGGCGCGAGTGTCGCTGTGGGGCAGCGGCGTGTAGCGCGGCCGCCCCCGAGGAGTTAGGCGGTGCTGGGCAAGTCCCCTTCGCTGCCTCGCCCCGCATCTGCCAGGCGAACTGGTTTGCACCGAGAGTCCCGTCCCCCCCACAAAAGAGAAGCGCCCATGGGAGAGAGCAGCCTCTCCCTGCTGCCACCAGCCCCTCGGGCAGTTCAAGTGACTCATACTATATCATGAAAGTATAAAGGTCTCCAGGCTGTAGCCATATTGGTCTCGAGGAAAAGGCAATCGGGACTCGTCGGAGTTCAAAAAATGTTTTTGCAAAAATCTTGTTGAGTCCGGATAAAATTATAAATGGATAGATAAGTATGAATATATCATATCAATTAGACAATTATAAATGTATAGTAATATAAGTAGAAAAAGTGATAAAGGCATGCAATGAGAAATATACCATCAAATGATTAAAAAAAAAAAAAAAGAATCAAATGAAGAAGAATACAAGGTGATTGCTGAGGGTCTGAAGCCTCCCGTCCCGCCAGGTGACAGTAGGGGACACATGCTGCAATCCCCGGGTGCTCTGTCTTCGCTTCCTGAGGAAATGTGGGGAATGCTTCTATGGAAAAGAAATGGGCGTGAAGACAAGACGAAGCTTGTAGCGAGAGTCAGGGCACGGCATAATTAAGTCTGCCAGCACCACCTTCGTTTGTCTCCCTGGTGCCTTTCCATGCTGGTGCAGTCTTTAATTACACAAGCGCACAGGGATGCTTTTTTATTATTATTATTATTATTATTCCACAGCATCTCGGCCTCACTGCACTATGTCCCATGAAGAAGTCAGGTTATGCAGTGAATGATACTGGGGGTCATACAAGAGGCGCCTGCCTCACCTGTTGTGCAAGTTGGAGGCTGCTGATGAATGAGACAGAACAGCAGAAAGAAAAAATGGGCATGAATTACCCAGGCGAATGTCACTGGGAATAATCAGATTCCAGTGGTGCCTCTACCGAAGAGATAGGCAACGTTGGGCAAGTCATTTCCACGGGTGGCTGTTGTGCATTCTTCATTTTCTGGGCACGCATCTTCAATACAATCCAATTTGCAGGAGCGCTGAGTCCTCCCAACTGCAACTGAAGACAATGGAAGCTGTGCTTTGAATTTATAAAGTCCTAATGCAATCTCTGTGTTCCAGAAAAAAAACAGGCTTAGACATCCTCTCCCAAGGAGGTGGTGCATATATAATCATTAATGTTCATTTAAAAACATAAAGCCTCAAAGATATTATAGTAAGATCACTGTAGAAAAGCCATGGTGGGATTAATCGTTCTAAATTCAGTTCAGAGTTTGGATTTTGTGCAATAAAAAGGCATGGGACTATGAATGAGGTGATGAGGATAAAATATAAATTGAATAGCTACCAATTCAGCAAGCACTGTCCATCCAGTGGGAAATCACTTTATGTGATAAAGCATTAAATTGTAATCCATATGCTGAAGGTGTCCATATTAAAGTTGAATGGGCACCCTTTATTTTGGCATGTGATATGTTGAGTTCTTGACTGCAAACTTAACTCCAAAGAGAGACTGTGCACGCAGGAGGGTGGTTAGGGCCCTCAGCTGGAAGGTGAGAGAGTCTTGAGTTCACAGAGTTACTGAATGAAAAACAGAAATAGTTCTCAGAGCGTGTACAATTGGGCAAGTGTTTTAATCATTAGACTATTATATCAAAGGTAGAAATCACTATATCCCTTTCCTCCTCCACCATGCTCAGTCTTAAAAATAAAATGTTCAGAACTGTATTTTTGCAGAGCCCAATCCTATTGGCCTCTGTTCAGCATTCTCTGAACATAACTACCCGGCTGGCTAGGTTCCTCACTGGGCTTGGACACTCTTCCACCTAGTTTCTGAATTCTCCTCGGGCTTTCAGTGAGATAGGTATCAAGCTGCTGAAGCCAGTTCTGAGTGCACAGAAGCAAAATTAAAGGTACTTTAATTAGGACTTTCAAGTGAAACAGCTAGCCACTGAGGAAGGGGTTTTTTGATTGGATCTTTGGACTTAGGTGCATTAGATGGAATGCTAATTTAGCTTTGCATAAGTGTCTTTATTTGGAAAATACAAAGGCAATGGAAGTAATAGCAACACACAATTATACTGGAAATTTAAATAAGACATAAAGTGTTATATGTAATGGGGAAATGCAAAGAGGCATGGTGACTATAGAAAGTGACCGCTTTACACGAAATAAACACCTAATTACAAAGCATGCATTCCATTTTGTACTGATTACAAGTCATCCCTGTATATTAGTTAACCCCATATTTTCAAGTTCAGTTTTAGGAAAAACAGCTTTTTCCTCAAATATAAGTCAATAACAAGAACAGCTCCTTAAACTGTTATGGCCATTATGAAATCTCACAGGAGAATCAAAATGATGAAGAAAAAGACCCAGGGGGTTCAATGCACTAAAAATATTAAAATGCAAAAAGCATCCTCTGTACCTAAAAATAATTTTACCCAAGGTTCATTGTATTGTCTTCAGCCAAAAAATCCATATATCATGAAGTGAGCTACAAGGATATTTTTAGTTAAATGGAAACTAGTCATAGGCCCTTATTAAAAATCCAGACTTGAATTGTAGTTCTGATTCAAATTCTATGATGTGTGCAGCCAAAATCCTGGATCTAAACAGCTCTGGTTTTAGGAGTTCAAAATTTAAATTTTCCTAATTTTTGAGGGATTGTGGGGAAGGAGAAAGATGATTTTGTTTATACTGTCACAACCAAATTAAGTACTGCCCATGCCACAAGCAAGAAATACATTAATCAAAAACAGTTTTAGTCCACACTGAAGCCAACTAAGGGTTAAAGAAAAATCCTTGTTGGTAACAGTTTTTTTTTTTTTACTGTGCATGCTAACAAAAGAGATTTATGGCTGCGTCACAACCAAGAAATGAAACTTCTAAAGAAACGAAACTTAACCCATGATTTATGATTGGTCAGGCCGAAAAGGGGTAGCCCTGCTACAAATCCCTAGAGATAATTGACGATTCTAATTAAATTTATGACGTGGCGAAAAACAATTGGCTATCATACAAACAAAACCCTGCTGCATTTCCGCCAAAGTCGAAGACAACTCTGTCCACGCCTTAGAGTAAATCTGACAATTTGATCAGTTGTCAGCGTCTTCCCGCCGCAACCTCCCTGGCGTACCCTTGACCCGCATGCCCGATAAGCCTGAACCCGCCAACCGCCGGACCGTATATATGTCTGCAGACTGACCGAACGAACTCTAAGCTGTAACTAACTAAGTATATCTGACCTCCGTCTTTCACCACCTTGACGGCGTGAGTAAATAATCTTGCTTTGCGACCGATAAGCGTCCGCCTAATTAATTCCACTCCATGCGTCACAAGTACCCGCCTGATGGACCCTTAACTGCCCGGGTGGGAGTCAGGGAGAGCTGCTGGCCGGCTGCCCTGGGTCCCGACATATACCACTGTTAAGAGCAGATGTCAGCTCAGATTTGCCGTGAGCTAAATTGTGCTTTGGAAGAGTGAAACATATAGTTGTCTTAAACATTTAAAATTTAGCCTCAGTTCTTTTTTTAACTTAGTGCTAGAAATTTTCATTAGTCTTTCCCAAACAATAAATGCACAATTCACTCCAAAAATAAATAAATAACCATATTCAAAATCCATTTTAAGTTTTTCAGACATTCACTCTTCTGACATATATACGACACTATATGACTTCCTGTCAGCTCATGTTACTACATTTATGCTACTGTTATATAGTTGTGGTTATAGATCAGTTTTTCACATAAGTTGACCATGATTTTTATGGTTGTTTCTAAGAGAAAGAGTCAACTTAAAATCAAAATAATACAATAAGAAGAATTCATATCAGTTAAAAGCACTTTTCAGATTTCAAGTCCCTTTGGACCTTTTGTGTTTCCGTTTTGATTAAGCTTGTCCATTTTGGGGAAGTTGAGTCCGTGCGAGTTGAAATGGGAAGGGATTGTTTTCTGAGACAGAAAAGTTTTCCAGGAACACTCCTGGTTTTTCAGCGAGTCTTCCCTCACGTTTCTTGCCAAGCTAGTTTATTTTCATTGGAGAAATAACAATTTCCTGCCATAATCTGAATAGTTTATATGAGGTTTTTGGCAGATCTTCCACAATTTACTTTGGTAGCTTCTGATGCTATGGTTTTGTGATGTTGTCAGGGCTGTCCCTGAGAGAAGTGACTCAGGGTGACCACCCCGGGCCTCGCATTCTGGGGGTCCTACGGACAGTGCCATACAGGCCCCACTGTAGCCGCCATGCACCACCGGCTCCACGCTCCTGCTGCTCACCACTGCTCCCCCCAGCTCCCCTCACCATGCTCCTCCACTCGCGCCCACTCCACACTCTGGCAACTTACTACCCCCCAACCCCACACGGGCTGATATGCCCCAGACTCTGCACACCCCTAGGGGTGGCTCTGGATGTTGTCTCAATTAATTAAGCATGCAGGTGCATTAACCTGTTTCACAAAAAGGGGCATGTCTACACATGCTTTTACGTGCACCTAAACTTAATGTGCATTTGCCTAATACACAGGCACACATCTACATGTGCACGCGCTAAGGTGCATTAAAGCGGTAGGCAAACGGACTTGGAACTAAAGTTAGTCCCAAGTCAGTTGACATACACAGTGTTAATGTGCCTTAGCGCATCTACACATGCGTTAAGGTGCTTTAGCTATTCACGCCTAAATTTGATACTTCTGTAGGTATCAAATTTAGGTGTGACTAACCTAAAATCACCATTTTTAACACTCGTTAAGGGTGTCTACTTGTAGACCCATGCCCTTAATGCACCTTAAAATGGATAGTGCACCTTAAATTGGCACATGTAGACATGACCAAGATGAACAACAAGGGGTTTTGTAAGGAAAAACTTTCCAAAAAGCAGTATATGTATGAGTCTTACTGATTTTCTTTAGCTTCCTATGCAAACTTTATACTTCACATTATAGTAATATTAATTTGTAAAAAGTAGTCTTCCCATAAATACTTAGGAGGAAGCCTTTTTCCTGAATGTCAGGTAAACCAGCCATATTTAAATCTGAATGAAAAAATCAACCAGGAAACAACATGGCTATGCTTCCTTGTCCACTACTAACAATGGCTAGAAATACTTGCTCTTCATTTCATTTGTTGCTAGGTAAGTGAAAGTATATGCCTGTAAGCTGAAAGAATCAATTAACTTTCCAAGCATTCAGGTTCAATCAACTCTAGAATGTTAGTAATTGGCCAAGCAAAGTCCCTACATTCAATTTCTTGGCATTTTTCTGTTTGCCAGCTATGCTCACCTTGATTTCTCTGTTTAAGCATAAAATAACGTGATAAGTTTTGTATACTGCATCTAATCACTTACAAAAAATCAGCGGAAAAAAAAGCCAGATTCAGAGGAAGATCAAGACCCCAGACAGGCTGTCTTTGCCAGCAGAAGAATTTATCTAGTACATACATCAAAGGCAGCAATTTAATTTGTTGAATGGGGAGACTATTAGCTCTAACAAAAATCGAAGTCGTAGTATCATAGGAAAGTAGGGATGGAAGAGACTTCACAAGGTCATCTACTCCAGTCCCCTTCTCAAGGCAGGATCATCCCTAATTAAACCATCTCAGCCAAATAATTCTCCACCCTTCTCTTGAAAATTTCTATGAATGCAGATTTCACAATTTCTCTAGGTAGCTTGTTCCAATGCTTGACCATTCTGACTATGAAGGTGTTCTCAGAGAATAACCAATGGCCCTCAAATGACTTCAGTTAATCCGTTCAGTAGCCCAGAGTGCATCCCATCTGGCCGTGCTGACTTGAAAGCATCTGGCTTCTAAGTAATCCATAAGCTGTTCTTCTACTACTCTAGGCTGTTTGCCTCCTTCCCTATCTTTGCTGTCAACTACAGCTGTCTTCTGGTAGCTGCTCCTATTTGTGAAGGCTGAAGTAAAAAGGCATTAAATAATTCAACCTTCAACAAGGACAAATGCAAAGTCCTACACTTGGTACAAAATAATTGCATGTACAAATACAGACTGGGAAATGACTAGGTAGCTGCAGTACTGCAGAGAAAGTTGTGGTATTTACAGTAGACCATCAGCTGAGTATGAACCAACTGCGCTCCTGTTTAAAAAAAAAGAAAGGAAGGAAGAACTCAGCAGCATATTGGGTTGTATTAACAGGAGTGTCACTTGCAAATCAGGAGCCTGGGCTATTTAGTTTGGAGAAGAGAAGACTGAAGAAGGATTTGATACGAGTCTTCAAATACCTGAACGGCGTTTATACAGAGAGTGGAGGTGAGCTTTTCTTTGTGGCTGTAGGGGACAGGAGTAGGAGCGATGGCCTCAAAATTCAGCAGGGGAAATTTAGGTGGGAGATTAGAAGGAACTTCTTGACTATGAGGATGGTCAAGCATTGGAACAAGCTACTTAGAGAAATTATGGAGTCTTCATCCTTGGAAATTTTCAAGAGCAGGTTGAACAGACACATGACTGGGATGGTTGAGTTAGGAATGCCTGTGCTTTGAGCAGGGGGCTAGACTAGAAGACCTCATGAGGTCCCTTCCATCCCTATATAGTAATGCAACTCATCAGAATAGGCAAATACTACCTTATTTATTGTGACAAATGAGTCCTTTTTAAATATAGTTTAGAAATACTCAAAATTTGTTTAGATATGTTTCTCAACCAAGGAATCACATCTCAGCACATTAGGATTGCTGGAAAAGTAATTCTGATTGCTGCTTCCTCCACTTCAAAACTTTAGAGTGGCCCCCTCCCTTGACTTGTGGAAAAGAAGGCAATACCATTCTTCCTGCTTGTCAGAGTGAACATTGGTCTTTGAAAATAAAAAGTGAGAAGAGGACTTGTTCTAATTTCCTTTATTCTTTACTACATGAAAAATCATGGCTTTTATTTTTCCCAACCACAGCACATGACCAGAAGTGAAAGTCTTGTGTCTTCTTTCTTCCCCCTCTTATATTTGTTTGGGCCTTTTGATTAGTGCCCTATATTTCATGCAGCCAAATGAAGAAGTCGGGCAGGGAGAATGGAAGCTTCATGAGTAACACTCCTATGTCATTTACAATAATAATACAATCTTAAAACAAAATGGACAAGACCATTCAAAGCCAAGTCTAAAACTAGCCATGGCTGGTGACCTTACAAATCAGGATGAAATTTCTGCAAAACTCTATGCTGCAGCCTTCAGCCTTCATCCCAAGCTCCCATTTCTTGCCATTCCTTCTGGAGAACATGCTGTGTATAGAGATGGAAGTAACTGTCTGTCTTGGAATTCAAGCTGTAGCATCAGTTCTCTTTAGAGTACAGGTGCATAGCCAACTAATGAGACTAGCTCCCCTCATCTCCCTGCTGTAATCTCTAATTTTCAAACAAAAACTGACCACTCACCTTTGTGTATTGAGCAATAATATCATCTATCATATAGATGAGAGAATAGCAAAAAGTGCTCCAGAGTGCCTAATTCAATTAGTTGGAGTTCTCTGTCTCTGGAGAACATTTGCTTTACATATATGAAGTGTAGATTGGAGAAGCAGTAGAATGAAAAGGCTCTGGTAGCAGTGAAGAGCATCCACATGAGTTTTCTTTCTCCTTTGAGTAATCTGTGTTCCATACATTTCTTGCAGTATTTGTAAGGGTTGGGAAATGAAAGCTTTCGACAGTTCTATGGTAGAAAACCATATCTCATCTCCTGGCAGGAAAATTTTAAGGAAACCTCACAAATAAAGAAAGAATTTTGGAGTCCTTACATATGCAAACTAGGGATAGTGTGTGGTGAGAAATATGTAGCAACCTGGGCTAATAGCTAAGTAAGCTCATCCTCTAGTGCTGCAAATATCAAGTGGGATGACTAACCTTTTACTCTTTTTTTCTCTGCAGAAGTCCAGGCATAAAAATCAGCTACTGACTCCTGTGACCAACTACCTCCTTCGCAATCCACTGAGTCACGCTACTGTGCATATTGTAAATAGGGAGATGCAAGAACTACCAACAGCACATTATCTGAACTGTAAAACAATAAGGTCAAGATTGTAGGTAAACTGTTTCAATTTAATTTCAAGATTCTCAGTGCCTTGCACAAAACAGCTGTATCCTGAAGGTACATTTGGCCTATAAATGAGATTTAAGTGAACATTTGCCAGAATTCTAACAAATATAAGAGAATATAAATATAAGATTATGCCAAAGTATTATGATAGGAGGGAATTGTGCTTTCATAAGTGTTATCGGGTTAGCGGGATACAGCCTGCTCCTCTGGTTCTTGCTTGCCACGACTTGGATCACAGCAGCTGGAGTTCCTCAGTAGGTAATTGGTTGTGTTGCTGACCTGCCATCTAAATGGTCCCTCATTCTCGGTGTCTCTCTGGGCCTCAGATTCCTTTGCTGGGGTCCTCTTCCTCTGTGGTCTTGAACAATCCCCTCTTCCATCTGTTGGTGCCCGAAGGCATTTTCTCCAGGATCTCCCCCTTCTTTTATCCCCAGAAGCAGCGTTCCATTGGCTGGCCTTGAGTGATGTGGGGAATCCTCCCCCACCTGCCCAGGAATCATCGTTAACAGCTGCCGGGATTTTCCCAAGTAACAGGGCTCCCAACAGGGACCCTGTTACACACCTCGCCCCGGTCTCTTAGGCTGCCCCCCACCTTTTTGGAGGCCCCCTTCCTGGAGGGAGAAGGACAGTCAAGAATGGAGAGAAAGCAAAAAAAAAAAAAAAAGAAAAGAAAAAAAATGAAGGAGGAGGAAAAGAGAAAAAAGTCTCTTCTGAAACCCTCTAGCCGGGCTATAAAGCACAAAGGTTTGGGTTTGGCACCCAGCTTTTTCTTGAGTGTCTACTTATCATCTTCGTTGGGTCAAGCGTCCTCGCCATGGTCATCCCTGGGGCCAGATAGGAAATCTACGTTCTTTCTTCTGCTGGATCGATGTTCTACTGAAAAACGAAATGGCTGTAAGGCTAGGGACCACTTCATGAGTCTCGCATTATTCATTCTAGCTGTCCCCAACCATCGCAGTATTACGTGGTCGGTGATGAGCACAAACTCTCTGCCCAGGAGATAATACTGGAATAGCTCTATGCCCCACCGTATTGCCAGACATTCCCGTTCTATCATGGAATAATGAGTTTCTATTGGGTTCAGTTTTTTACTGGCCAATGCCACTGGTCTCTCTTCTCCCTTCTCTATTTGGAATAGTATGGCCCTCAGAGCCACTGATGAGGCATCTGTTTGTAGAAAGAAGGTTTTCTGGAAATCGGGTGTGTACAAAACAGGGTGCTGGCACAACTTCTCTTAATTGTTTGAAAGTGCAGAGGGCTCTTGAATTCCACGGAAACAGGTTGTGGTGTCCCTTAGTTAATTCTGTCAGTGGAGCTGCCTTCTCTGAAAAATTAGGGATAAAACACCGATAATAGTTGGCAAAGCCCAGGAATGACTGTAGTTGTTTCAGCGTTTTGGGTATAGGGTGTTGTCTTATGGCAGCCACTTTGTTGGCCATAGGTTTTATGACTCCCTGGCATACTAAGAATCCTAGGTATTGTGTCTCTCTTTTTCCTAGTGTGCATTTTTGGGGGTTGGCAGTAAGCCCCGCCTGCCTGAGGCTTTCTAATATCTGTCGGAGGTGTTGATGATGTGTTTCCCAGTTGGGTGAGAAAACGATAATATCATCTATATAGGTGGCCGCATACCCCTGGTGTGGGGCGAGTACCCATTCCATTAATCACTGGAAGGAGGCCGCGGCTCCATGTAGTCGAAACGGCATTCTTTTAAACTGGAAGAGGCCCCACAGAGTGCCAAACGCCATTTTTTCCTTAATTTCTATGGCCATCAGGATCTGCCAATATCGTTTGGTAAGATCCAAGGTGGATATATATCATGCTTGTCCCACCCTCTCTAACATATCATCTATTTGGGGCATCAGAAAGGCGTCAAAGGTGGCAATTTCATTTATTTTCCAATAATCAATGCACAAGCGAATCGATCCATCCTGCTTTGGTACCACCGCTATGGGGCTTCTCCAGGGGCTTTTGGACTCTTTGATAATTCCCGTTTTTTTCATTTGCTCAACTTCCTGTCTGACTGCCGGCCACAGATGGCGGGGTAGTCTCCTCCAGTGGTCTCTAATTACTCGGCCCGGTGGGGTAACAATGTGGTGGTGGACCCCCCCGGCCTCTCCTGGTACCTCTCAACATACATCACGAAACTCAGCAATTAATGCTCTCATCTCTCCTTGATGGTTGAGGTCTAACTGGTCATCTATCTTTGGCTCTACCTGGGTCCCTGTCACATCTCGGATGATTGTTCCATCTTCCTCTCTCATTTCGTCTATCGGTTTCATCAATCACCTGTCTCCCTGCCGCCACTTCCGCAGTAGGTTAATGTGGTATATTTGTTTCTTCCAGGTAGGTGTTGTTCGCAAAACCTCATAATTAACCAGCCCTATGTGTTTGGTCACTCAGAAGGGTCCCTGCCATCAGGCCAGGATCTTATGGGTGTTGTCCGGGAGCAATACTACTACCCAATCCCCCACCTTGAGCTCCCTTTCTACAGATCAGGCATTGTACTGTTGCTTTTGCCTCTCTTGGCATTGGCTCAGATTTTTCTGTGCTATCTCTTGGGCCTTTTGTAGTCATTCCCGAAACTCTCCCGCTACCTGTGGTTGTGATGGGTCAGTTCCTTCCCGTAGCCATTCTTCACATATCAGGTCTAACAACCCTCATGGGCTATGACCGTAGGTTAATTCAAATGGGGTGTATCCAGTCAAAGCTTGAGGGGCTTCCCTTACAGCAAAGAGTAGCGAGGGTAACATGGCATCCCATTCCCGGGGGCCCACCTGAATACATGCTCAGATCATCCCTTTGAGGGTGCAGTTAAACCACTCTACTAAGCCGTCTGTTTGCGGGTGATAGACGGAGGTGTGTAGCTGTTTAATTCTCAGCACCTGGCAGACCCCCTTTAAAATTATCAACATAAATTTTTTTTCCTTGGTCAGTCATGATTTCGCGAGGGATGCCTACCCAAGCGATCCATCTCAGTAGAGCCCCCATTATGGCTGTAGCTGTCACTGACTTCAAAGGTACTGCTTCAGGGAATCGGGTGGCGTAGTCAATGATCACAAGAATGAATTGATACCTGGCCCTACTATGAGGAAACGGCCCAGCTATATCTAGTTCAATCCGATCAAAAGGATGCCCAATTAGGGGCATTGGTATCAGAGGGACCTTCAACGGCCTTATCCCCCTGGTTTTTTGGCACTTGGGGCACCCAGCACAGAATTTTTCTACCATCCTATATATGCCTGGCCAGAAGACCCTGCATTTTAACTTTGCTTTCGTCTTGTCCCTTCCTAAGTGCCCACCCATTGGCAAAGTGTGGGCCACCCACAGCAAGGCCTCCCAATACTTCCAGGGAACCAAAATCTGGGGTCTCTCTCCTCCCTCCTCTTGATTCTCCACTCAATAAAGGATGCCTTTCCTTACGTCATACCATGGGTTCTGTTCGGTTCTCTGTGGGTCTATGGTTTCTTGTTCCACTCTGGCGAGCTGGAACTGCCATATGTTCCAGAACAGGGGTTCCTGTCGTTGTTCCTCTCAGATGTGCCCCTTTCCTATGATTTGGTCTACGTCCAGGTCCTCTTCTAGGTCTCCAAAACAGCTGGCCCGATGGCTTCTTTCCTCGTGATCATTCGTCTTCGTAATCAGTTGTCGGATAACCTCTTCTAGGTGTGGCCAATCTATATCCAACAGCATAGGGCAGGGCAATGTTTCAGCCAAACCCACTGGGATCTCTTCAGTATGTCCAAGTACCGAGAGTTTTACCCTCTTCTGCTCATATGTATAGGCGGTGCCATGCATGCAGATTATGCATACCGGGCTTTCGGGGCTCCCCAGGTGTGGGGGAAACATCTCCTTGAGTATCATCGATTGGGAGCAGCCCGTGTCTACAATGGCGGGTATAATCGTGCTGCCTATTTTCACTTCCACCACAGGCTTGGCTTTTTGGCCTTGTCCTTTGTGTCATCCAAAACTACAGTCCATCTTCTCATCGTGTGCATCGTTCACAGAAGTTGGAGCCTGGGACTGCCTAGGGCAAAAACAGGATGTATGTCCCTTCTCTCCATAATGATAGCATGTTAGCTCTCAGAAGCTCCATACACACCCCTCCATCCATGCGTTCTCACCGCATCATGGCTGAATGGGGTTGTTCTGCCAGATCCCCGGTGTTGGGCCACCTGCCAGGTCTTGTTTGGGAATTTCCCCTTCTCCTTCAGCCGACACATAATCCTTTGCTAGCCGTAGCACTTCCTCCGTGGTTTTAGGCTGATGGCGCTGCACCCATCTCTGAGAGCTGCCACTAAGGTCCGTCAGGAACTGGTCCAGGATGATCAGATCTATTATTTCCTGGGTGGTGTGCATTTCTGGCTGCATCCAGCATTCGGCCAAATCCTGCAGTGTCTGAGCCAGTAATTGAGGCTGTGCTCCTTCGGGGCCCTTCTGCACTCTAAATTTGTGTCGATAGGTCTCTGGGGAGATCTCTAAATGGTATAGAATCGCTTCTTTAACTTTTTTGTAATCCCGGGCCTCCACCCTGCTAAGGGCTCAGTAGGCGGCTTGTGCTGGACCGATAAGGAGTGGCCCCAGCCTGGCCGCCCAACTTCCAGGGTCCCACTTAGCGGCCATAGCCACTCTCTTGAAAGACTCCAGATAGGCTTCTACATCATCTTTGGTGGACATGCAGGGCAGCCTGGTGCCTCTGCCTTCTCTCCCAGTTAGCATCTGTTGTGCCTCAATTTTCTCGCATAAATCTTGCTGGCGTGAAAACAACCGTATTTGAGCCTCTGCCTCTTCGGTCCACATCTGTACCATCTCCTCCTACTGTGCTTGCTGGCCTTGGAGGAGTCTTAACGTAAGGTTGTGGGCTTGCTGCCAATTGGTGGGGACCTACGTATCCACAGTTTCCATTATGGATCCTCAGTTCCTGGCTAATCCACCATTTCGTTATCGGGTTAGCAGGATACCGCCCGTTCCTCTGGTTCTCACCTGCCAC